GTTTGCCGTCTATGAAATTGGAAGGTGTGGCCTTTTTTTCATGCACAATTTCGTATATAAAAAATCGATAAAAAAGCAAAACCTCGAAAAATGGAATCGAATAGCATAGAAGTTTCAATTTTAGCTGAAATTCCAGAAAATTAAATTTTTTTAAATGGTTCAATTTGGATACTTTTCAGAGTCCCTTCAAATTTCGAAAACTAGACATTTTCCTTCGGAAAAGTGGTCGAAGCCTGATTCTTTGAAATTTGAGGAGCCTAGAAGTCCCAGTTTTGGCTGAAAATCGAAAAAATATGTTTGAATTTTCAGGAAATTTGCAAGTTCTTGATTTTTATGTCAATTTTCAAGGGTTTTTTGCTTTCATTTTCAAATTTCTCGCTATTTTATTCCTTCAAAGAACGAGCAATTTTGATGTTCTAGACGTTTTCTTATCAACGATTTCATAATGACCTGATAGTTCTTATTTTTCCCTTAAAGGTGGGGGGACAGGAGATATTTCGTAGTTTTTTTGTAGCTAGAGTATGCATTCTACCGTGACGGTGTACAACGCTTAATGTCACTCTGCGTACAGCTGTCGTCCTCGCCTTTATGTATGCAATCGGGCGTCCGCTTTCTCTTTGCCCGCGTGGCTCAGTCGGTAGCGGCGCCGCACCCTCAATCATCGCCTTCACAAGTTCAACTCCTCGAGGGGCATCTTTGAACGGAATTTCGAGAACATTATTTTTTTCATGTCCCCCCACCTTTAATTCTCACTTTTTTCTCGAATTTTCTCTCCTCCTTCTGGAAATTTTCAAAAGCTTGAATCGATCGAAATTCGAAAAATGCTTAAATTTCCTAAAAATTTCTCTCAATCTGATTTCATAATTACACAAAAATTCTTATGTATTTTCCTTTTTTTTCAATTTCTTGTTCGATTTTCTCTCTCCTTCTCCTTTTTGAATCTTAAAAATACACATATTTCTGCAGACCGACATCCAAAAAGGCGCCGGGCTCTTTGCTTGATATCCGTCCGCCCCCCGAAAACACAAATGCAGATATCATCCAGTTTTTAGCCACACACACTATCACTCGAAAAATCAATCAATTCATTCGAAAAAAAGGAACAGAAGAAGGATTTTTGTTTAAAAAAGAGGACTACTCTCAATAAAGGAAATTAAAAGGAATCAGAAAACGAACGGAGCAAGATGCCTGATGTGAGTTTTTTGCATTTTTTGAAAATTTGAAATTAGGAGAAATGTTCAAAAATATCTGAAAACACTATATCATGGTTGCCGTCCAAAGTGGATAAATTTGGGACCAAAAATTCAGAAAAAAAAAAAGAAAATGTATCATTTTTTCGAACTTGGCGCTTATTTAAAGCGCATCGCCGTCTTGTAGGCCGCGGTTCATGCGCCTTTAAAGTATCTAGATTTCAAAAAAATTTTACCAGCCTATTTTTCTCGATTTTTTCATAGTTGTTACTGTGAAAATTGCGAAAAAATTGAATGAAAACGATGAAAATCGTCCAAGCAGCTGTGAAAATTGTCGAAAATCGAGAAAATGGGCTATAAATGATAATTTCCGAAATATCTGAAAACTTTAAAGGCGCATGAAATTTGAAGGCAAAAAACGATTCTTAAAACACCGCACCATCTCAAAAATTGGATTTCCCAAAATGACAACTACCGTAATCGACAAAAAACCCTACTTGTAAAATTCCGGGCCGGCCCGGTCCGGCCCGGAAGGCCCGTTATCAAAAATCCTGTATTTTTGAGCCAAATTTTGAGCTCTCAATATGCTTTTCTCCTTTTTTTTTCGTTTTTTCGGATTATTTGTCTGTTCGAAAAATATCGAAAAGCTCGAAAAAAATTTTTTGATGGTTAAAAATCACATAAGGGTCCCCCCTTTTGTGTTTTTTAAAAATTTCAAAACTTGTGAAATGACGGGCCCGGCCCGTTACAAGTATGCAAACAACAGTTTTTAGATTACGGTATTACTCTTGTCCGAAATCAATGCACGTTGCGGCCGAAAAAATAACGGTGGGCGGAGCTTGGCTCCCACAGAGAGAACCTTACTGTATTTTTCAAGTTATTGCACGCGCCTTTAATACAGTACCTCAACATTTATCGAATTTTTTCAAATTTCTCTTATTTTTTCGCTTGTTTCTGTCTAATTTTGTGTAATTCTTATAAATCTTTAATTTATTTTTCTTATAAAATAGAAAAAAAAACAGCCAAATAAAGCCCAAAATAAAAAACGTCCGAGGTACGGTATTTAAAGGCGCATGCATCAATTTGTTTTTTTCGCTGTGCGACCGACGATGCGATTTTGAGTAAATTTTCGGCCGCAACGTGCTTTGATTTCGGACGAGAGTAATAGTTTCTCTTCCATAGCCCCGATTTTTCTGTATCAGAATTGGCAAAGTGAACCCTTTAGCATGACAAAAAAATCTAGAAAATCTGTGTAGGTGGTGCTGACTATACCGACCGGTTGGCGATTTGTGGTTCATCCCCTCTTCTATAATCTTCCATCGATGAGTATTCTCTGTAGTCGTCGTTGGCTGTCTGTATCTCAGTTTAAAACGAATTTCGGACGAATTGAACCGCCGTTTTTTTGCAACAAATCGTGTTTTACGATGTTGGGTACAAAGTTTTTTTGGTCGTCTGTGTTTTGGAATCGAAAACTTGCGGTTTTGAGTTTTGGGCACTGTTTCAGCTAAAATTGCTTTACTAGCTCTCCCAGAGGCCTCTAAATCCATACAAGACCCATAAAATAAACAATCTTTCGAATTTTGAGCTTTTAGTTGCTTCCGCATCTTAAAATCTCTATTAAAAGTTTCATCTTCTCCTTAGTTTGCCATATACCGCGTATATCGGAGATCTCTATCCCCGAGAATGGTCTTGAGAATCATCTTGTTGCGTTCCTCTTCTTCCTCATCCCCTCTTTATTAGATCCTTCTGGAAGAATCTACGTGGCTTTCTGGACAAAGTCTCTTTTTTCTAGATTCCCATGATAGTTTTTTTTCCAATTTTTCGTCGTCTCTCCCAAATCGAAGATTTTTACGGTTTTCTCTTTAATAGCCCCCCGAAAAATTGATAGTTTTCGTTTGATCTCATGCCGGTGCCCCTCTTCTCAGTGTTGTATACGACTTGATCGAAAATAGAGGACAAATTCCAAAATCCAGAGGCATCAGAAGAATCAATCAACGAATTTTGATTGTTTTTTTTAATGGAGAAATAGAATAGGTACCAGAGAGAGAGAGTTGGTTAGAGAAATTTCAATTTCACAAGTTTTAAAGTAAAATTGTAAAATTGAGAGCGCTGATTGTACGGTATATAATAGAGATGTTGAGCCTAGTGGGATGGTTATTCTTCTGGGAAGTTCTGAAAAATCGGATTCTGACCAGATGACGATCAACTTGAAGAAGTGCCGACGATGCAATTGTCACTTTTTGGTGAGTAAAGTCTTCAGATTCTCATTAGAGCGTACTTGGCAAAACATAGCCAAGGCTAGACCGAGCTCCTTCTGAAGGTCAGAAGCAGCGTTGGTTCTAGTCCAAGGTTGCCGGAAATAGGACCGCTGCTTTTTGGTTACGGTACTTCTTGAATTCAGACACATCACTTTTTCTTGCCATATATGGCTGTCCACCAAAAACATTGTATTTTTAATGACCCCCGGCGAGGGGTGGTTTTAGTGATTGTTGCAGCGCAGTTGTGTTGTTTATTCCATTTTTTTCTTCGGGTTGCTGTTCTTCTTCTCCTCCCACCCACCCAGCTACTTCTCTTGCAAACATCATCTTTCCTCGTCTCCCCTACTATCTATCTATCTTGACGATTTCTTCTTCATTGACACAGTGATACTGTGTACAGAAGAAGAATAGAGAGGCATAGAAGAAGAAGAAGAAGAAGAAGCACGTGGCAAGGGCGTCTTCTGGTGGTAGGTCTCCATCTCTCTTGAGGAGGAGAGGAGACGATGTGTCTGTCGTTCGACATGTTTCAGTCTTGCTTTTCGCACCATAGGCAGCAGAATCGAAGAAAGCTTCAGCATCATAGCAATATTTCGTATTCTTTGGTTGCGACACCCTCTTCATCGGCCTCATCGTCAGTCTCATCGGTAAAGGGCTTTTGCTGGTTTGGGCTTTTGCTGGGCTTTCGCTGGTTTTTAAGATCGGATCTATCTCGGTTCCTACAAGAGATATCAAAAAATTGTCAACTGATAAAATGTTTGTGATATTTTGATAAACATTTTATCATTGTACATATGATATCAAAAAGTGGTCTACTGACAAAATATATAGCATATTACGATCAACATTTTGTCAGCAAATCATATTTCAATAGCTTGCAGAGTAACCGAGATAAATTGACTTAAAGTTAGGAGACATGTGATAAGACAACTGATAACACCTAGTTGCTCCAAGGATTCATAGAATTAAATGTATTGAGTTAGAGACCAAAAATTGGGATCTTCAATTTTGCTAAAATTGGTCAGTTTTTAAACGGATATCTCTGAAACTGTTCAGAATCTGAAACCTGTAAATTTTGCTATTTGAAGCTTAACTATACGAACAAATCTACTAGAACTATGAATCTTCAAAAATACGCCCACATGAGAGAGGCATAGCTCATTTTGGAGACGAATTTGTAGTTGTACAAATATTGTACGAAGCCGTCGACTACAAAGATCAGAAACTAGAAGATCACGATTTTTGGCTCAGCTAAGCTTTGTTCAGCTAGACTAGCTCAACACGGCTTTGACAGTTTTCTAAACCTGCATTAGGGCGTGCTTGAAAGTGGACCATGCCACAGTTCCCTTTTCATAACTATACATTTTTAGCCACTGACCGCTCTCCCCTTTTTCCCAATACCACAACCCCCGTTTTGTCTATAACTAACTATATCACGTGTTGATGATCAATGTTTTGATAGGTAACACACATACAAAACTGGTAGTCCCTGATCAACTATATTTTGAGGAATGATGATGACAAAAATAGAATCTTCAGTAGAATAGAAACAAAAATGGCCTATTTCCACGTATTTCAGTCTATAACCAACGGTGGCCGACCGCCGGCTCCTCCGCCCAGCTCGACGAGCAACTCTGGAACCACATCATCTGCTGCCGGCACTTTTGGTGAGTATTTTGGATTTTAAATGGAGGATAAGACTTCAATTTCGATCGGGAAGTTCGGCCGGTCGACCGTCCGGCGGTCGGGCGCTCGGCTGAGTTTTCCGACCGAATGGAAGCCTTTTATAAGATGTACCATTCGGTCAGGACATTTAGCCGACCGACCGCCGGCCGACCGCCGGCCGACCGCCGACCGATTTGTAGAAAAAAACGTAAAAAGACGGCATTTCTGTTACGGTCACCCCCTCCTACCGTAGCAGTCCTACGTCAACAGGATTAGGTGGAAAACGAATGGAATTTTAAATTATGGACGATTTTTTGAACTGATGTAACTGTGAAAAAAAGACATTTTGGTTTTTTGAAAAAGAATGGTCTACGGCCCGGCCGGCCGCGGTCCTATCCTCGATCGCCTTGGGAATACCTATGAAAATCAACGGGATAATGGCTGCTCAGCTTTTCCAGGTAACCGTCGTCGATTGGTGAATCGGATCAAGAAGGTCGATGAGCTGCATCCGGCGCAGGAGAATCCCACGTGAGTTTTTCTCTGGTTTTTTTTTCAGATTTACTGTAAAACCTGTATTAGAAGAGTCCCTCTAATAAAAGGACCCTTCAAAACTGTGCTGAAAATCTGTCGAAATCTAGCTGAAAACTGAATAGAAAAGCCACGCCAAACTGTCAAAAATGAGAAAATTGAGCATTTTTCAATCTAATGTTGACTGAAAACAGCTTTAAAATACTGTAATTTAGCTGAAACCGTGTTCTAGAATTATTCAGTATTTTCGGCTGAAAATATTCAAAATTAGGCATAAAATCTGTAATTTTGAGGCCAGACCGCATTTTCGCACTAGTTTAAGCTGGAAAATCTTAATTTTCCAGTTCAAAATAGTTCGAAATACGAAATTCTAACAAAAATTGACATCACCCCGAATTGTTCTCTGATCCTTCCGATCCTTTATATTTTCCGAAATTACCTCTCTCAAAAAACCCCACAGGTCATGTGAGAAGAGCATTCCATTCGGAAAAACGACGGTAAATGCAAAATTCTGTGTCCACTCAAACCCCCCCCCCCCCCCTCTCTCTCTCTCTCTCTCTCTCTCTCTCTCTCTCTCCTTTCTCGGGGCTTTAAAATTCCTGAATTTCGGGAGTCGATTCGATTTGAAATTCAAATTCTAGCCGATTCATTCTCCTATCACTCCTCCGACGCATTCCACTTTTTTCAACCAAAAAATCGCCCTAGTTTGCCTAGTTTGCCTTATATTAACCATATATGGAGTTCCCGATTTCTAACGATTTGTTATTAGCTAGCCGTCAGTTACAGACGAGAAATGAGAGGAAGAGGTAGAAAAAGGGCTATAATTACGGTATTCTCTGGCTCCTGGACGTTNCANAACCTTCTGAAATGTTGGGTTCTGAAGTGTCCAGTTCTGAAACGTCCAGGAGCCTGTTTTCTCTAATAAAAGCCCATCCAATCCCGTCAACTTTGAGCTCAATTATCTCGGTTCCTATAAGAGATAACAAGGATTTCCAACTGATGAAATATTTACCACAGTATGGACTATATTTTATCAGTTGAAAGACTTCCGCTACCTCTGATAGCGACCGAGATAATTGTCCTCAAAGTTATAAGTTAGGAGGCCCTTCTATTAGAGAAAAACAGAAACTGATAAGCGACCCCCTTAACACTGTAATCATTTCAGAATGGGATCACACTGGCTGTCAGGAGAGGAGCGTTCTCGTCTCGAAGCGGTTCAACAGGATTGGCGTCGGACGAGGCCTATGAAAGTGAGTTTTCTATCACCTACAGTACCCTAACTCGTCTAATCAGCCTGTTCAGTTTCAGTGGGGTACCAAACCGAGGCGGTCGGATGATCCAGTGTTACCAGCCGCACCGGATGTCCCATCGGGATCGAATGGTCCCGCCCCTTTACCAGCAGCCGTGGCAACCACAGCCGCCTCAACGATATCACATCCGCATATCAACAATCATCATGCCTCGAGAATCCCTCAGGCGATTACGAATGGAACGACGACGCCGTTGGCACCTCTTCTGATATCACCGACGGGTCAAACGGCGACACCGTTAGTGAAGACGGGCCCGATGTCACCGTCAAAGGGAAGTCCGATTAATGTGGCGGCTACAGTATTACAGAATGCAGTGTCAAGTCCACAACATAGTATATTTGACAGATCTAGGTGAGTTTCTATATTTTTGCATGGTGGCCTAACTTTTGCAAGTTAAGTTTGCTAGGCCACCAACTTTTATAACCTAGAAATAGTCTGACATTCACCTGGTAGATTTTCTATGCCATTTTAAAATGGTGGCCTCAACAACTCAAAATGCGAAAGTTAGGCCACCATGTTGCAAATTGAGTTTTCTAGGCCACCACGTTAAAATGACCTAGAATCGGTCTAATATTCACCTGGAGTATTTCTAGGTGATTTTAGCACGGTGGCCGAACTTTCGAAAATTGTGTTTTCTAGGCCACCATGTTAATTGGCCTAGAAAGGGTGTTATATTCACCTGGAGTGGTTCCTAGGCCGTTTTTACATGATGACCGAACTTTTGCAAGTTGAGTTTTCTAGGCCACCATGGTAAATGTCCTAGAAATTGCGCGTTCACCTGGAGTGTTTCTAGGCCATTTTAAAATGCTGGCCTCAACAACTCAAAATGCGAAAGTTAGGCCACCATGTTGCAAATTGAGTTTTCTAGGCCACCATGTTAAATGACTTAGAAATGGCCTGATATTCACCTGCTGTGTTTTCTAGGCCATTTTAACATGGTGGCCTAACTTTTGTGATTTGAGCTTTTCATGCCACCAACTTTTAGACCTAGAAACGACCTGATATGCACCTGGTGGGTTTTCAGGTCTTTTTTGCACGGTGGCCTGCAAAACTCAAGTTGAAAAAGTTGGGGCCTAACTTACTCAAATGAGTTTTCTAGGCCACCAAATTTTATGCGTTTTCTAGCTCTTTTTATCATGATGGACTAACTTTCGCAAAATGAGTTTTCTCGACGACAACGGTAAACGACCTAGAAATTGCCCAGAAGAGTTTACTAGAAAATTTAACATGGTGGCCTAACTTTTGCAAGTTTAGTTTTCTAGGTCACCAAACCCTATTGTGCGAAAATGCGCTTCGACCCAATTACCTTGCTAAAAATGATATATTTCCAGGTTAACGAGTAAAATTGCACCAAGCATATCAACAGCAGCTGCCCAGGAAGACAAGGACAAGCCACAAGCTCGTCATGGGATCCTCACTCAAGTCCGAACCCTAACTGACGCTCTGGTCAACGAAGGACCCAGAACGCTTACCGGAGACGAGGAGAAGATTTCCGAGGAAGAAAGAGCACGAAAAGAGCAGGAAAAACGAGAGGAAGAGGAGAAGGCCGCTCGAAAAATCGACATTGAGGACGATTTCGATGCTCAGGAGAAGCCGATCGATAAGAGCAAGAACGGGCGGTTTCTGAAGTTCGACGAGGAGTTGGGACGGGGATCGTTCAAGACGGTATTCCGAGGGTTGGATACGGAGACGGGTGTCGCCGTGGCTTGGTGTGAACTTCAGGAGAGCAAGCTGAATAAGACGGAGAGGCAGAGGTTCCGAGAGGAGGCGGAGATGCTAAAAGATCTTCAACATCCGAATATCGTGAGATTCTATGATTATTGGGAGAGCGCGGATTTGTGTGGAAAGCGGAAGTATATTGTGCTGGTCACCGAGCTGATGACGTCGGGAACGCTGAAAATGTATTTGAAGCGGTTCAAGAGGATAAACATCAAGGTGAGAGGACGACACTGGGATGAGTGGCAGCTGACCGTTAAAAATTATTGTTCCAGGTTCTGAAATCATGGTGTCGTCAAATTCTGAAAGGACTATCGTTCCTACACACCCGCAACCCTCCTGTCATCCATCGTGACTTGAAATGCGACAACATTTTCATCACCGGAACAACTGGAAGTGTCAAAATTGGGGATCTCGGTCTGGCGACGCTCAAAAACAAGTCATTCGCCAAATCGGTCATCGGAACGCCGGAATTCATGGCACCGGAGATGTACGAAGAGATGTATGATGAGAGTGTAGACGTCTACGCGTTTGGGATGTGTCTTCTGGAAATGGTCACCGGAGAGTATCCGTATTCGGAGTGTATGAATCCGGCGACGATCTATAGGAAGGTCATATCCGGAGTGAAGCCAGAATGCTTCTCAAGGATCCCGGCTCAGTACCCAGAGATTCGAGAAATCATTGATCGATGTATTAGGGTACGAAGAGAAGAGAGATCCACAGTGAAACAACTCCTAGTCGACGACTTCTTTACTCCAGAAGACCTCATTGGAATCCGAGTGGAGATCAAGAATCGAGATGCGGATCTGAACGATTTGAATGTAGAGATACAGATGCAGTTGAGAGTTTATGATGAAAAGAAACGGAAGCAGTACCGATTCAAGGAGAATGAAGGTCTCCAATTTGCGTTTGATATTGAAAACGACTCGGCTGACGAAGTGGTACAACAGATGATTGAACAACAGCATATACCAGATGAGGACACACGGATGATAACGAAGCTGATAAAAGATAAGGTGGATGCGTTTAGAAGGGATCGAGATCATAGACTGTTGGAGATCAAGAGAGCCAAGGAGGAAGAGGAGAGGATTAGAGAGGAGGCGGAGATCAAGGAGGAGCTACGGTTGAGAGCAGAAGCTAAGGAGAAGGAGAGGTTAGAGAAGGAGCGATTGGAGAAGGAAGCGAAGGAAGCGGCGGCGGCTGCAGCCAATCCACCACCACCCACACCACATAACTCGATTCAACATCAAGTTCCGCCAGCGCTATCCACTCAGACATCCACGGAGCCTGTTACCATGGTGTCACCTACCACAGCTCCACAGATTCTTAGTCCTACGAACCCGACGGCTCCATCAATGCCAGCCACAATGATCCATTTACCAAAACCCACGGACATTCCAGTGCCTGTCTCCCCAGCTCCAGTGAAGACTGAAGACGTCCAGACCCCCACCCTGGCTCAGAACACAATCCCAAGAACTATCTCCACAGATGCATCAGTTCTCAACGTCACCACTCCAGCTTTAATTGCTTCGCCAGCTCCACCAACGGAGCCCACGCCGACAGAAGGAGCTCCAGATGCCAAGGAGGAGAAAAAGAAGAGCAACAAGCGAAAAGTGATGATGGAGATCCTAGGATGCGATGAATCTAGGAATTTCGCTCTGGTCTCCTGTCGACTCGACACTTCTCACAAATCGGTCACCTTCCAATTCGCGCCAGGCACTGATAAGCCTAACACCATTGCTACGAAGCTTCTAGCCGAAGACTGCCTTTTGAAGATTCATGTGCACATCGTGGAAGCGCAGTTAAGTGAAGTTATTCAGCTAGTGAATACGGATGCGAAGAAAGGAGTGGGCACGAAGCTGGCTACTGTACTGGACCCGAATAGCACTGAACCACCAACGATAACAGCTGTGATGCCGAAGGATTCGACGGCGGCTGCGAAGCCAAGGATAGAGATTGAGAAGACACCGCCGACGAGAGAAGTGTCACAGGAGCCGAATAATGTGCAAGTTACGGTAAGATTTTGGCACGTTTTTCTCGTTTTTTCGGTAATTTTAACATGGTGGCCTCTTTGGCAAGTTGGGTTTTCTAGGCCACCACGTTAAAATGACCTAGAATTGGTCTGATACTCAACTGGTGTGTTTTCTGGGGCATGTTAACATGGCGGCCTAACTTTTACATGTTAAGTTTTCTAGGCCACCATGATAAAGGACCTAAAAATCACACCAGGGAAACGTTAGGCCATTCTTAAATCATTTTACTATGATAGCCTAGAAAACGAAACTTGCCAAAGTTAGACCACCACTTCAAATACACTACCATTGACTCATTTCCAACTCCATTCGAGTTACAGAACGTGCGGAAGATCTCCCAGGAATCGAACGCCGAAAGCGTTCAAGCGATTCCTCGCCCAGCTGTCACTTCACCAACGGATCCAGTAGTTGCACAACCAGCAGCGCCAGCACCATCAGCCAAGCCGTCCCGTTTCCAAGTCACCAAGTCGGCAGATCCAACTCCAGCTACAGTAGTCGCCACGCCTGTGATCACCGCTGCTCCTCCACCAGCAGCAGCTGAACCAGTGTTGGTTCAACCGATCACTTCTCAAGTCATCACTCATCTGGCCACCCCATCTCCGATTGCTCATTCCTTATCTTCAAACTCCTCCCCAAGTGCTACCACTCATTCCAACATGTCATCGATCCAATCAACGAATAGTGTGCCTGGCAGGCGGTTTACAGTTCAACCAGTGTCTCAAGCCGAGTCTGGAATCTCTTCATCCATCTCAACACCTCATCCAGAACATCATGGACCTCCACCAGTGCCAAGTGTTCCACCAGTTGTTGCCACGGCTTCCTTGAACCTTGAAGCCTTTCCTCCAACTTCGTCATCCACAACATCAACGGCGACGCTAGTAGCAGAAGTGCCACCGGCAGTCGTGCAGGTGTCGATTCCAGCTCCAGCTCAGATCCCACCAGAGCAAATGGTAATTGTGAACCATCAACAACCGACGGATGTGTTAACACAGCTGGATAGCGAGCTTCGGAAGGTAGGGATTCTTATTCTTGACTAGAGATTCTAACCAATCTATAAGACATTCCAGGTCAGTGGCGTTTCGCACTCACCAGCTACAGTAGTGGAATCGATGACACCGTCCATCCCACTGGCTTCTTCTTGTCAAACTGTACCCGCATCCATTGGTCAGGCGCCAGCAGTCATCGCCGCGGCACACGCTGCTGCTTTGATCCCCAACGCAAGTGTCCCACAATCACCGTCACGATTAGATGCGGAATCTGGTCTTGCTGGTCTTCACGAGAAGCTGGAGGCGTTGAAACTGGAACAGGATCGAAGGGAGGATCTGGGAGCATCAGCAGAGGAAGCAACGACTACAGATGGAAAGGATGAGATTCCGATTGACACGTTGAAGGGGTTGGCGGAGGCGTTGGGCAAGGTGATTCATACCGATGGACGCGAGACGACGCCGATGCCACCCGATCATCCGGACCTCACGGATGCGTCTACGGTAGGTGTCTGGGGATTGGGAATAAGAGTTCTATTCGGTCGGGAAACTTAGCCGATCGACCAAAAAATGCCGACCTACCAAAAAAAAAGCTCGGTCGAAAAAAAAATAATCGGTCAACTTGGTCGGTCAGCTTGATCGGCGGTCGGTCAGCCTGGGTCGGCCAATTTTTTCAGCTTAATTTCCCTACCGGATGGAAGGCTTAGTTGGGAAAAAAGTACATGTCTGCTATGGTGAAACTGGCGGTCGGTCGGCGGTCGAGTTTCGACCAACCGATAAAGAAAAATTTTAGTCATTCTTGAACCATTTAATTTCATTCTAAATGCTTCCGCTTCCACAGTACGTAAAATCTATGATTCTGATTCTTGTTCTCAGTTTCCTAACCCGCTATGATTCCTAAAATCCTCCTATGTTCAGCAACAGCTCGTCTCACCACCGCCTAACCCGGATCTTCTCACAACCGCCGATGCTGCTCCATCATCAGAAGACTTGGATGTGACACTCACCTCTTCAGTTCCACCTGCGGCTTCTGAATCCGTTCCAGCCACGATGACGATGAGCACGACGGCTATGAGCACTACCGATCAAGAGTGTGCCCAGTCGATGACGTCATCGATAACACGAAACACGACTGGAACCAAACTGGCCACTTTTGAGAATCTCGAAACGGCGTTATCGTCGACACTCGGAACGCATATTCGTCAGCCGAATGCACCGTCTTCTCGCGATGAGACGACGGGACCGATAACGCCGAATCAATTCACGACGACGAACGGAGGAGGTGGCGGGGGAACATCGTTTAGCATCGGAACACCTCCTAGCCATAGTCCGTTCCCGGTATCGGAGTGTGATTATGATCTAAAGGTAATTATTTTTGGTTTTTTTTTCAGAATTTTTGGTTTTGTGAAGTAGTAGTATTGGCTGAAACACGCTTGCATCTCTCAACACTTTAAGTTTTGCATTGAAAAATATGAAAATCGAAAAATTTCGGTTTGCGGTAGTTTTCGCATAGAGACCTGCAAAAATCAAAAAAATGTCAGTTTATATAATGTGCTCACCTTGAAAAATTGCTCTAAAATATGTTAGAAAATTGGGGGAAGATTCAGAAATATTTGCAGAATCGATTTTCTCGAAAAGTTCGAATTCTTGGGCTAACTTCAACTAATTTTAGCTGGTTTAGGCAAACATTTTTATCGATTTCGACCGATATTAGGCCGTTTTCAAAGCTTTTTAAAATCGTTTAGCCGCTTTTAGACAATTTTAGCCTATTTTCAGACAGTTTCAAACCATTTAAGCTCATTTTAGGCCATTTTAAGACGATGATTTTCAAACCATTTGTTGCCTTTGACGCGATTTTGAATAGAAAAATTGATCAAAAATATTGGGGATAAGTCAAAAAACTCTGCAAAAAATAATGCGATATTCTCCTTCTCCTCTTCTACTGTACACATCAAAAATTAAAAAAAAACCAAATTTCGATAATGCACATCCCCAAACCTCACAATTCAACGTCCGGTGATGCGACCATTGTTACAGTTTAGCAATCCATCGCCCCCGCTCAGTAGAGAGAGCTTAAAAACGCCCTCAAAAACTGTCAAATTTCAGTGCCATTGCTCAGGTTTAGTTTCCATGCCTTTCCTCAATTTTTCTTCGCCAGAATCGCATGATTCTCGTGGCAATACGAAGGATCACATAAAATTTTTACACACACACACACCCAGAAAACTCAAAAAATGACAAAAAATGAGGAGCAAGCACACACAGACACATCTGTTCCATATGTCAAGGGTTATATTTTTTCCACTAAGCTCTCTTTTTCTTCTGAATCCTAAATTTTCCATTTTTTCCAGGGTCAAATGGATTTGGAAGGCGAGGATCCGGAAGTGATTCAGATGATTCATCGGTGAGTTTTTTTTAATGGGAAAAATGACAAAAATTTTTGGTGTTCAAGTCTATAGGGAAAATGTCGGAAAATCGATTTTTTGGGCCGTTAATTCCGATGAAGACTGTTGGAAACAGGGTCTTTGTAATATTAGGTTGGCGGGAAAGTCTTTGTCACTCTGTTTGTTTAATCACTGTTCTCGTATATGGAGGCTGTGTATGATATCGACTCTAGTGAATAACAAGGTGATAAGAACCTTCCATATAAACAAGTCCCCATCTCCTTCCCTGCTCCTCATCTGTAATTGAAACGATATGTTTGTTCCCACTGCTATTCACATCAGACATGTTTTGATTTACCTCTTCCTATCTCACACCACGATGAAGGATTCGGAAACTTTCTTGAAGAATGTGTACAACACACATGCCCCTCACTACAATACTATTCGCAATTGGTTCCATCGTTTCGAAAAAGATGACTTCTCGCTCGATGAAAAGGATCGCTCTGGGAGACCCCGTGAGTTGGATTTGGACAAGCTGAAGCACGCATTGCAATCGGATCCATTTCAATCTAGCCGTGAACTAGCTGTCACATTCGGAGTTCACCATAGCACAGTCCTTGAAGGTTTGAAGTCTCTTGGAATGAGAAAACTTTTTGGTCGATTCATACCTCATCACCTGACTCAAGCCAACCTTGACCGCCGAGTCGACGATTCGATTACTCTTCTCACTCTCCACGCGGGCGATCGATGGCTGGACCGGCTAATAACCGGAGATGAGAAGTGGGTCTTCTACGATAATCACCACAGGAAATCCCAGTGGGTTGGAGAAGGAGAGAGCCCACAGGATGTCCCAAACCCGACCTTCATCCGAAAAAAGTTATGCTCTCTGTGTGGTGGGGAGTGGACGGCCCCATCTACTGGGAACTTCTGCCCGAGGGCAAAACAATAACTGGAGACCTCTACACTACTCAACTACGAAACCTCAAGAAAGCAGTCGACCGTTCGGCCCTGAAAGACAAGAAAGTGTACTATCAACATGATAACGCTCGCCCACATGTTTCGAAACAAGTGAAGCAGGAGCTGATGGGATATGGATGGAATGTTCTCCCTCACCCCCCGTATTCTCCTGATCTTGCTCCTTCCGACTATTGGTTATTTGGCGATATGACACGTGCCTTCGAAGGAAGAAGCTTCAATTCCCGTGGAGCGGTCGAAGCGGCACTCAAACAATACTTTGCCTCACGCCCGGCTGGATTCTACCGCAATGGAATCCATAAATTGAGGGAACGTTGGAGACATGTTGTTGATAATGATGGACAATATAGTTAATTATTCGGTTATTTTTTCTTTGAGAAATAAACTATTGAAAAAGTGACAAAGACTTTCCCGCCAACCTAATATCTAAAATGGGAGGATTACTGTACTTTCGAGATATGAGGATTACTGTACTTCTGGGATGGGTAGAACAACTGTACTCTTGAGATGGGTAGTATTACTGTACTTTTGAGATGAGTAGGATTACTAGGATTACTGTGCTTTTGAGAAAGAGGGGTTCCTGTACTTTTTGAGATATGAGAATTACTGTACTTTTGAGGTATAAAGATTACTGTATTTCTGGAATAAGTAGGCTTACTGTACTTTTGAGATAGAAGGGTTACTGTGCTTATGATATTTGTAGGATTACTGTACTTTTTGATATCGAAGGATTACTGTACTTCTGAGATGGCTAGGATTCGGTGGTCTAGAAGTTTCTGGTTGGCTGATCTCTTTTCCATATTTTAACATTGTCTATACTTCCAGACATCGCCTCGAACAACACAAACTTCTCGAAAAACAACGTCTGGAAATTGAACGCCTTCGCTCGAAGGTTCGCGTGCCGCCACGTGCCACATCGGTGAATCCCGAGATGATCAACGACTGTGCCGACGACGCGGATGTTACGCTGACTTCACTTCAGCAATCGTTGACCAGTGCGTCGATGTCACTGCCGGCGAGTCCGCCGCCCAATATTGAGGTAGGTATTGAATATAAGGATACTGTATTTTGTAAAACCTGTATTAAAAAACACTGTCAAGTTAGAGCTTAATTATCTCGGTTCCTTCAAAAGATATCAAAAATGTGTCAACTGATAAAATGTTCCTCACAATATCATCAATATTTTATCTGTTGACAGATTTTTGATATCTAATATAGGACGTAAGATAACCGAGCTCAAATTTAACAGTTAGGGAGGTCTTCTCTTCTGGTTCTTATATTCTTCAGAGCCCCTCTCGGAGGGCCCTTTCATTAAAAGAGCCCTTCTAATACAGTTTTTACGGTCTTATTCTCGTACGAAAAAAAAACACAGCTGTGGACGAGAAACGCCGATGGACCTGACCGAAGGTCCCACAGCGACAACAACGGTAACCTAAAAATATTTTTTCCGAATTTTCTAAATCACGGTTTTCGTGCTATTTCACTCAATTTTTTCCGCCTTTTTGTGCAAAAATAACAGAAAAAATTAGGTTATTGTAGTTTTGGTACCTCCGGCCATGGCCACAACTCCTATTTTATGCCCCGTAACCCTAACTAAAGGCGCCACCAGATTCCAGACAATGAAACAACCCAGCCAAAATGGAGTGACGTCATCAACGGACCCCCAACCACCAGCACCAGCGCCGATCAATCGAATGAGCATGTCTCAGTCGTCGAACAGATCAAGCGTCGGCTCGGCTTCGTGCCGTCACCGGGACAATCAATCGGCGCCGCCGCCACGTCATCATCACCAGCACCACCGCCACCACCACGCAACTTCGTCAGCTATTGCTCAGCCGCCAAGCCAGGTGGCTCCGCCTGCCCCGACGACAACGATCAACTCTCATCACCAACATCCAGCGGGTGCTCATCAGATTCCCCCACAGGCCTGATACATCTATAGAACTTCTTTGAATATAACTATTTTTGGTCCTCCTCTTGTCCTAAAAAATTTTTTTTTGTCCCAAAAAAATATGAAAATAACTAGCGCGTGTAATTTATGCCGATTGTATTCTCACACGGGTTTCGCATATTCTGTGCCTCTTCTCCTTGAAAAAAGTCATCGAAAATCAAATTTTTGGCCCATCCCCAATTTCTCTATATATTTTTTATAATTGATTGCTCTTTTTTTGGTCCTCTCTCTCTCAATCTTGTGTTCTATTATTCCAATATTTTATTCTGGTCTAATTTTAGTTTGCGTTGAGTTTGATGGGGGCGGAGCTTAGTTATGGTAGCGGGATCTTTGAAGGAGCATTTTTAAGAGTTACTTTCTGGCCTATTTTTTCAATTTTTCGAAAATTTGTTTTTCAAAAAAATTTGAAAAATCACAAAAAAATCGCTTGAAAACAATGGAAATTCATAGAAAACTCGAGAAGAAAAAAGTCAAAAAACATGCGCTTTTAAAGATTTCACTACCGGACCTAAGCTCCGCTTTTGAATTTTGACCGCTCTGAAATTAGTCCAGAAGCTTCCATTCCCCCCCCCCCCCCAAAACCACCAGTCCTTCGTTTTTCTTCTTGTTACGAGTTTTTTTTCCATCTTCATCTTCTCTTCTCTTTTTTTCAAGATTTCTATTATTTTTTGTTGTCCCTCCTTTTGAAGAACTTCATCATCGTGACGAGAGCAAAAAGGGATATACATACATAGTGAGAGGTGAAATAAAGATATCCTATTCTTCTAGAACCTTTTTTCTGAAATTCTTTGAATGTCCCTGCACCAAAAAGAGAAGTGAAAAAAAACCATTCGAAGAGGAGAGCCGACATTTATTGACACATTTCGGAGCAATATAGAAAAAACAATGACCTCCCCGATTGATTGATATAAGATCCCCGGAATATTGGATCTCGATTCCTCCCCTCTACCAAAAAGAGAAAACAACAATGATTTCTAAAATGTTGTATTTCTTAATACTTTTATTTTCTGGCTTAACAGCTGGACACAACAGTTATGGATTCAATGAGCTTGAGTTTCAGAGGAAACAATTCAAAAAGTGAGATTTAAATTGTTTTTTTTTAAAGATGAGCATCCAAAAATCTAGAGATTTGAATTTCAAATTTCATTTAGTTTTCTTGAAGTGGAAAAATGTTTTAAAGGGGGACTCCGACCAAAAATTTTTATTGCAGTAAAATGTGTTAAAATTTATCTATTTTTCAAATATTATTGCGAAAAAATTCAAAGAAAATCCGAAATCCCCGAAAAACGGCGTTGAAAAGGAAGAAAATTCAAAAAAAGGTGCCGCCGGGGGACGAGGATTTTCAGTGAGAAACCTAGGCCACGGCACCTGACAGCCTTTTTTTCAAGTCGCCGACAGTGGTTTTTTACGTTTTTTACCTGCCGGACATGAAATTGAAAAAAATCCGGAAAATTTGCCACATAGGAAAGGCGCCCGCTGCCGTGGCCTAGGTTTCTCACTGAAAATCCTCGTCCCCCGGCGGCATTTTTTTTTGAATTTTCTTCCTTTTCAACGCCGTTTTTCGGGGATTTCGGATTTTTTAAAAAAAATTTCGCAATAATATTCGGAAAATAGATAACTTTTAACACATTTTAATGCAATAAAAATTTTTGGTCGGAGTCCCCCTTTAAAGTTTCGTTTTGTAAAAATTAACAGTGAGTCTCACGATTTCAATTTGTAATTTTGGCCTATTATTCGTTTTAAAAGTTGTTCTAGTCCACTTAAAGTAACAAGTGGCCTAGAAAACTCAATATAAAGAATTCGGTTTGTCTGACAGCAGACCTATTAACTTAGATTTGAAAAACAGTGAAATATACAACCTCGATGAAACCGAAAACTTTGGGTTCTCGATTTTTTTTTTAATTTTTGCTTTTTTAAATTTTATTTATCGACGTAAAAATAAGTTGAAGAAAAAACCTGAAGATCCGAAAACGGCCACTACCGTAATCTGAAAGGATTCATACTTTCCTGCTTTTTTATCTCGATTTTCGTGCAACTGGAGTACGGTAGTTGTCGTTGTGGACCTACGGCGATCGAATGTTCCTCGAAAATGTTAATTTTTGCACCGGATTTAATTTAAAAAAAAAATAGTCAGAATTTCAAAAAAAATTGAAAACCAAAATTTTCAGTTTTATCGAAGTGATACATATTTATTTAAAAAAGTATATTTACATCGAAATATCAAAATATTAAGAAATGTTCAATTCTGGAAAGAATATGTTTAAAATATGGTTTTGCACCATGTTTCAAGGATTTTCTTCATTTTCATTTGAATCAATGAACTTTTCAAACAATTTTGGAACGAAGTCTATTTTTTTAAGCTCTATTGTAACGTCCTATTGTTTGAAGCTAGTAGCTCTCGTAGAATTTGTAGCTGAAGTTTAATTTTTCCCTAAAGAATACGTATTTTTCATATAAAGATTTAATTTTGACACATTATTGTAACAGGAAAATTTCTTTCAAAAACTATTACTGTCTCGCAAATGTACTATTTTATGGTTTTTTGAGCTGGGACTATTATGTTCGTTTCGTCAACTTGATCACATCCAAGAATTTGAAAGTTTTCCAACATTTTTAAACTAACTCATTTTTCTCCCAACAATTGATAAACTAATGATAAGTGATTTTCATTGAACATGATTTAAAAAGTCAACTGTTTCATGTTCAAAATAAAATTCTAAAAATAAAAATCGATTTTGATACTTCGTACATCTTTTTTTAATGAATAATAGAAAAACGAAAAATTGAATTTTTTCTCTTTGATCTTCATGTAAACTTCTAGGTGACATCTGTATTTGTTGAATTTAATACAAAGTTTTCTGAAAATGAGTGTATTTGCACAACAAAGCCCCGCAGAAGTGTTGTGCTAATACAAAACAAGAAGATAATAACTTACTGAAACAGCAAAAGGTTATTTTTCAGAATCTCTTCTCATTCTTCCGATTCATCATCCCAAAAATCGGGATGTCATTGGTTCGGAACTGCACCATTCTGCTATCAAACATGCCCATCAGATTACGATTTTATCCGTCAACATTCTGGAAGATGTGCAGATGGAACTGCGTGTATTCCAGACTCGAGTTTTGGAGAGCCCTGTATCAAACTGTTCTCCTATCAGATGACTAAGAAGTTTTGTTGCAAGTTAGTCTGTACCTTGGAGTTGGGGCGGTAGCTAATGTTTTGCTCACCAGCCCAACTCCTCGCTATTAAGCTTCAAATATATTTGAAGTTTGAGCTTGATTATCTCTGTTCCTATGCGAGATATCCAAAAATTGCCAACTGATGAAATGTTTGTGATGTTAGGAAAAAACATTTTATCAGTTGACAGGTTTTTGATATTTCTCATAGAAATTGAGATGAATTCTGAATTGAAGTATTCACAGAATTTACTGTTATACATATGGCATATAATGAAAGGAAATAACAACTTTTTATTGACTTTGTCGGTCTTTTTTTCCAGATCTGATCCAGTAGACTGCTCATGGTCGGGACGATGGATGGGATCCGAGGACGCGTTCAACTTCTATTGTCGCTTCGACCCGGATCAGGGGAAATGTGGAAAACTGGAGTGCTCTGTGAACCATCCATTGTTCAAGGCGCATAATTCATCGTTTATTGGTAAGTTGGGAAAAAAAAATGGATGGAATGAACAAACTGAAATTAAAGGAGGACTCCGACCAAAAATTTTTATTGCATTAAAATGTTCAAAAGTTGTCTATTTTCCCAATATTATAGCGAACAAATTCGAAAAAAACCCGAAATCCCCGAAAAATGCCGTTAAAAGCGAAAATTTTTCAAAAAAGTTGCTAGGTGGGACGAGGATTTGAATTTCCGCGCA